TGCCAGTCGCCTTGGTCCCCGGACCCGCCGCACAGGGCCGCCAGGTTGTCCTCGCTCGGGGCGTTGGATTTATTCTGGAAGAGGAAACAGCCCATTCAGGAACGTCTTTGATACCATGAGAGCATCGCTTTAGCGACTGTCCATGATTTTATTTAGTTCTTTTTTAATCCTCATCCAAGGATATTTTTAAAAATATATATATTTCCATTGATTTCAGAGAGGAAGGGAGAGAAAGAGAGGAGAGAAACATCAGTGATGAGAGAATCATGGATCGATGCCTCCTGCATGCCCCACACTGGGGATCGAGCCTGCAACCTGGGCATGTGCCCTGACCAGGAATCAAACCGTGACCTCCTAGTTCCTAGGTTGATGCTCCACCACTGAGCCACGCCGGCCGGGCTAGCTCTAATGTTTTTAAAGCATTCATGTCAATTTGTTTAAAACTACAGCTCCTTTTTGAGGCAAGACGACAAAAATTTAGTCTATTTTAAGATCAAGGAACTTTGGAAAATATAGTGGGGACATTTCATGTTTTATAAAAGTCCCCCCAAAAAAGACAACTATAGAATTAGATTGTCAGGAAATGCTACTACTTGGCCAAAGAACTTCAATTCCTGACAACCACTACCAGAGTTGGCTGAATAAAAGGGAAAACACTGAATATTTTTTTTTTTACTAGAATTAATTCTTCACGATTCAACGTTACCGTATTTTTGAAGTTGGGGCACGTGCCTCTTAGAGGTCCGACACTTGTACGAACTAAGACGACAGCCTGGGGCCGTCGCAGCCACGGGAGGGACGGGGCCTTGAACTCCGTGGCCGGAGCACCACTCACCGCGGGCTGGTAGTCGATGTTGTCCATGGAGCGGAAGAAGTCCAGGCTCTTGGCGGCCGCCAGCTTGCCCGGGTCGGAGCTGTGGGTGCTCAGCGTGTCCAGGATCTCCCCCAGCAGGTCCATCTCCCCCGAGTACAGCGTCTTCCCTCGAGTCTCCACCGAGTCATCGCTTTCGTAGGAATAAGCCGCGGCCTCCTCTCCGTCCTCCGAGGACAGTCTGCGGGGAAACGGGATGTGCTCTGGGGGCCCGGCGGCCACACGGGCTGCTGTGCCCCACCTCTCGCCGCCTCCCTTCCAGGGCCCGCTGGGGGAACAGCGAGAAGACGGAGGCTGGTCCATGGCCCCATTCACCCTGGGGAGGATGTCTAGCCCAGTCACATACGGGGAATTCCGAGCAGCTGCATTAAGAACATGCAGCCGGGCCCGGCCCGTGTGGCTCAGTGGTTGAGCGTCCACTCAAGAACCAAGAGGTCAGGGCACACGCCCGGGTTGTGCACTCGATCCCCAGTAGGGGGCGTGCAGGAGGCAGCCGATCGATGATGTTTCTCATCGATGTTTCTGTCTCTCCATCCCTCTCCCATCCTCTCTCCCTAAAAATCAACAAAAACGTATTTTTTTTTAAAAAAAGAACGTGTAGCCGGCAAGTCTACGGCGCCCTCACCAGGAAGCAGAAAAGCCGGGATGTCACCCAGGCTGATTCTGTGGGACTTGGGACTTTGGCCTTCGAAATGGTAGACCCAACGCTTGCGCCATGTGCTGGGGTCAAGTTCACGTTCGATATTTTTAGTATATGGTTTATCCCTGTACAGTGGGGCCTTGACTTACGAGTGTCCCGACTAACGAGTTTTTTGAGATACCAGCTGTCTCTTGCCGATTTTTTGCATTGAGTTGATAGAGTAATTTGAGTTAACGAGCTCCTTAACGAGCTCGGTCTCGGAACGAATTAAACTCGTAAGTCAAGGCCCCATTGTACTTATTTAGTCGCCCGTCTTAGGGAAGAATGCATATTCCCTTGTACAGACCAAGATTGAACAGCGAAAGGGAATGTTTATTGGTCACGCCCTTGTATGTTAACATTGAGAAGTCTAACAGACACTATTATTATTATTATTTCCCTTATTTTATGGTAAAATTCCTCTTCACCACTGTGGGTTGCACCGTAGACGTAAGTCTCTCCGATCCCCCGGCTCAGTCTGTTTCCAGGGACTTTCCCTGTTTCTGATGCTGAACCTGCCCCTCCCGGGGGGCTGGGGGGGTCAGGGTCTAACGTGGGTGGCTTCCTACTCCCCCCCCCACGTCCCCGACATCTCCGCAGGCATCCTTGCTTCCCAAGAACCAGCCAGCCCAGGCCCACCCTGCTCTCCCGTCTCAAGATTCACCCCCCACGAGACGGGTGAAGAGCAGCACAAGGGGGTGACATCCGATGCCTGGGGGTGCGCACTCTGAAGTACCCTGTGTGACCTACGACCTCTGCCCAAGCCCCCGCGGCTGGGAGGTCATCCAACCCCATTACTGACTTGCTAGCGCGGTCCATGTCCTCGTCCTCGTCCTCACACGGCGCGCCGTCGTCGAGGCTCTTGAGGGGCCTGTGTAAGCGTGTCTGCGGGAGGGACGGACAGACGGCGTTAGGGGGACAGCAAGCCTCCTTCCCAGTCACGTGTCAAGGAACGATTTGATTTGCAAAGGAACATTTTTTAAAAATGATTTCAGAGAGGAAGGGAGAGCAAGAGAGAGACAAACATCCATGATGAGAGAGAATTATAGATCGGCTGCCTCCTGCACGCCCCCCACTGGGGATCGAGCCCGCAACCCGGGCAGGTGGCCTGATTGGGAACTGAACCGTGACCTCCTGGTTCCTAGGTCGACGCTCAACCCCTGAGCCACACCGGCCGGGCGGTCAGAAACACTTTTAAAAGCAATACGCATTCAGGGTTTTCAACGTTACCCAATAACCTGGTGAGCTGGGCAGGAAGAGAGTAGAGAGTAAGGGGTCATTTATCTCAACACTTACTCCACCTCACACTCAAAACCAAGAACGAACGGGAGGACTGAACAGGTGTATACGCAGCCCACCCACCCGGTCAGTCGGTCGGTCCGTCTCTGTTTGTTCTGGGAATACTTGGCTTACAATTGATTCGATCAACACTCAAGAGAGAGAAAAATGGCAGCTTATTCAACACAAGCAACCCAGGTGGTGTCTGCGTTACCGCTTCCGTTGGTCCAGGACTCTGGTGCAATGGTTTCCGGGAGGCAGCAGGCCCAAGTCACAGAACCACCCAACTTCCTGTCCTGACCACCCCCTGCTCCTCCTGCAGTTACCATTTCTGCCGCTAGATGGCAGGCAGACCCCAATCAGGCAAAGGGCTGGGTCCATTGCAATTCATAAGGGGGTTAGGGGGTGTGT